AGCAGTAGCATGCGGTATGCAGTGTGTCCGTCCCCTGCCCCCCACGTTATGATAAGTCAGCAGTGCGCCCTCTGTATAGTTCTATTTTCGGTCATATTTTATATTTTTACCTTTTTGGAATAACTCGTCCTTTCTAGGAGTTTGGCACCGGAGTCACATGTCCGTTGCCGGTAGTTGGTCATGTGATCTCTGCCGGTAGTTGGTCATGTGATCTCTGCCGGTAGTTGGTCATGTGATCTCTGCTGGTAGTTGGATTGATGTTGGGGATGGTGTGCGGGGGGGGTTGGAGGGGCCGCCCCCCTGGTGTGCGGGGGGGTTGGACATATGTCTGCTCTTTGTGTTCCGTGGCCAGTTCCTGTGAGTGGTTTGCTCTCAGTATGGAACATGTGATACAAATGATTCTGCTGGTTTTGGTCCCGGCGCCCCCCTGTCCGGTAATGACGTCGGCATTGTAATGGGAATACACACTGGGGTTGTCTCTGATAATACAATCGAAGTTTTCCGTCCGTCCGTCCATCACTTCCAACTACTTCCTGGATTCCCAGCGTGCTTTGCGTCTCTTGCAATCTCCATTTCTAAAGACTCCATATCCCATCATGCAATGCTTCCTGCAAGCAGTGACAATGTTACATTGTTCAGACGTTGCAGCGGTGACACCAGGAAGTACATCTTCACAGGACCGAGTGACCTTCTGTGTACTGCGCGTGGCAGGTTTACAATCTCCTAGCTGGATCCGGTTATTGGGAGCGGGAGAGAACCGAAGGAACTTCATGTTAGAGATGCAGATTTATTTTATGACCAGAGATTACCTTTAAAGTGATATTAAAGCCACATTTTGTTTTTTCTCATTTCGCCTTTAAGGAGACCGTCCTTTGCTCTTTCCTCATTTTTTAGTGGGTCCCCGCAGCGCCTCCCCCCGGCCCTCTGCACAGGTGCCTCCATCAGCTACGCAGCTGCTATGGAGGCGCCCGTGTGTTCTCATGCACGCAGTGGCTGTGTGCTTCTATAGACACATCAGTATCCTCCCCCAGAACAAGGAAAAACAGGAACGGAGAATTGCTTTTGGACCGGCGGTGGTGACAAGTGGTGGTGACAGGTATGTGTGGGGGGACAGGGGAAAGGCAAAAGTACTGGGCAGTTTTTACCTTAATGCGCAGAATGCATTAAAGTAAAAAAAACAAAAAACCCAGCCTTTACTGATACTTTAAATGTACATATATTCTTATGGGAAGATTGTTGAAATAAATGGTCTGACAGGGTCTCTTAACTATTTTTATTCTTTTTTTTAATTTAAAAAAATATTTATTT